TATATATAAAAATATATTTATAAAAAATGAATAAATTGTATATATATATATATATCATTTCAATAATTCTTTGTATTATACTTTAAAAAACAGATCTATTGGAAAAGGCTCGTGTCATCTCTCAACAAAGTTTGGAACGTTCCTATCACATCTTCTATCAAATGATGTCCGGATCTGTTAAAGGGTTAAAGGGTAAGAAAATCAAACATTTCCATATATACATATATATACAACAAACATAACGAACAACTTTAACCTGACCATTTGAATAATACATTGATAAAACAATATTATTTCATTGAATATCATGATATCGTATCAATTTTCAATTGATATCAGGTTAACAGTTGTTCACATTGATTTCAAACATATTTTAATCTTAGGTTAATGATGATTATCCTAATAATACTCAAGCTCATTTATCAGAAACAATCATTCATATTTTAAAATTATGTTGACAATTCTGGATACCCCAACCCTTGAACCCTTCCAGAGAACGTGTAAACCGATGATACTGATCCTGAATGAGACAATACCAATTGAAATGTATTATTATTTATCAACTAATACAATTGTTCAGGAACAACGATAGTATTTCAGGATTCTAGGATGGTGTTTATTCTTCAACATCAACATGATCATCATCAAATTATTGTATTCATTAAATAATTTATCTTTTGACCATAATCCTTCCATGCAGACATGTGCTGTTTGTCGGACAACGTACAAGATTACTACTTCATCGCTCAGGGCAAGACTACTATTCCAAACGTTGATGACGGCGAGGAATTGCAACTTACCGACGTAAGAACCTGCACCTGATGAAGATGTCGCAGGGTGGGGGGGTTGAAAGAGGGGGGGGAAAAGATGCTCGCCGCCTATGCCTAATTTTTCTTTTATTGTCCGCCTAGATTTATATTTGGTTTTTATATTTTTTTTTCCTTTCTTGTTTCTATTTTATGTTGTTCCGTTCTTATTTGTCCTTGTTTTATCACCCCACCCCCTTTTTATATATACACACACATATATATATATATAGATCTAGAATTTGTTCTTAATTGTGTATTTTTTTCTTCCCCCATAGTTTCATTCTTTTATATAACACCGGTGTTTTTTTTTTTTTTTTATATGTATATATTACGAATTAATTTATAAACAAAATGATACGATGATGTTTTATTTAATTGATTAGAAAAGAGGATCAACAAGAGACACCGGGGTTGTTATGAAAGAAAAACGTGTGTTTGAATTTTATAATGATGTCCACCATAGGCAAAGGACATTGTGTTGAATACCATTCTCTGAAGGACAATGGAAAATACTGAAGTACCAATATGTTATAAAATAGTATTACGACACTCTTTTATAGACATTATGAAAACCAATTGAAGAGAAAAAACCTATACTTATACATTGTCCAAAGATCAATTCACATTTGTAGATTGAAAATTCAAACAAAAAGTTGTTTTTATATGATCGAAATATAAATTCGTGGACGATGATGTCAAAGTGAAGGTTTTTCTTTTCAAAGTTACTAAAATACCCAAAAAACGGGTTCAGTCACAATTTTTTCAGTCCCACACGATGAGATCATCAAAAAATGGCTTTGTAGATGAACCCTTGTAAATATTCCCAATGTTAATAGTTTGGATTACACCTCGACTGAAATTCTAGGCCAGCAAATACACAACCCCCGAACCCAAGCCCAGCCCAGCCCCAACCCCAACCCCCGAAGAAAAGCCACTAGGAAATACGTGGTCTCGGTCGTTTGTGATTTCTCTAACCCCGTGCATGTTTTTTGTTTCTTTTTTATTCCGACCCTCGTAGAGATGTTGCTGCTGTCCAACAACATCCACGACTACTACTTTGTGTCACAAGGAAAGACGACTATTCCTGGTCTCGATGACGGCGAGGAACTTTTGGTTACCGACGTAAGTGCATGCGATTCTAATCAATTTCCTCAAAATATTAATTCCACTTTTTCATATCCTGGAAGAATAGCAGATTCAGGATTCGTTAACGAATAAAACAAACAAACCAACAAATATAATAATATATAATAACTATATATATTTATATATATATATATATATAAAAGTCTTGCACTTAAAATTTTTATGCAATCGAGTATTTCCATGTCAAATATTTATATAATCATTTGTGGAATATTAATATTATAATCTTGGATAGCTCAATGGGTAAAGTAATCGCTTGGAAAGTGAAAGATCCTAGGATCGAATCCCCCCCCGGTTTTCTCATTTTTAAAATAGTTTTTTTAATCACAGTAATTTGATTTTTTCACAAATCCTACACACATACTTATTATTATTATTATAATGAAAATTTTGATTCCCCTTTTGTTAAATTAAATTGCAATGAAAAAGATTGAATTTGTCTTGCAGAGAGGAGGGAGTGAACAAATTTAAAGTGCAAAACTTTTAAATAATATATATATAAATAATATATAGTAACATTACGTGTAATATGTTATTATTATAATAATATAATTATTATTATTACGTTATTTTTGATGATTAATTATCAGCTATGCGTTTATTAAATCCGCTTGACCAAATATTATGCTCTCTGTTTTAAAATGTGCTCCATTTTTTTTGTAGGATCTTTATCAATGTCTGTTTGTTTGGCATCTCTCTGTTTGTTTTACTTTCTATCTCTATCTATCTATCTATCTATCTATCTATCTATCTATCTCTCTTTCAGCTCTATCGTTCTATGTGCCTACACTTAATACACTTATGATAATCATCCACATTTTTACAGCTACATTAGATTGGCCAGTGGGAACTTTTCATACTGTTTACTATACTTTCAGTTTCACTACTTATTCTTCTTCTTTATTTTCTTCTTCTTCTTCTTCTTCTTCTTCTATTTCTTCTTCTTCTATTTTCTCTCTCTCTTTGTTTCTCGTCACTCATTTGTTTTCCATGCATTATCTATCTGTCTATCTATTTGCTTTCGTTTGACTTTTGTTGTTTTTGTTTTCAGCAATTATCATTACGTGCGACCCATGTCATCATTATAAAAAGCAACACGTAAAGAACCTTTTCGTTCGTTTGTATAATACAATATTTAGTCGAGCTCGATGATATTTTTATTTTAATTAAAAAAAACAAAAAAACAGACTAAACAAAAAGAAACGTAACAAAAGTTCTTTACGTAATATCAATGAATACATGAAAAGAAAAAAAACGAGGAATTGTATCGTTGTTTGATTGAAAAACAAAGAAACAAATGAACAAACGATATTGTTCCTCGTAATGAACCCAAACGTAAGCTAGGGGATTATCGTATAATACAGAAAAGACCTTCCTGAGCAACCGGATTGGGGACTACTGGTATATTAGCCAGGGTAAGACCAGAATTCCGGGAGTCAACGACGCCTCCGAGATGGAAGATACGGACGTAAGTCCATCCCCCGAAGGTACCTATGATTCTCACCAAAGTTCATGTCGCCTTTCTTGATCGTCGTTACATTTTTTTTTTCATTCCTTTCTTATCCCATTTCTTATTACTTTTTTTTTTCTTCATATTTTATATTTAATTTAATTTGATTTGATTGGATTTTTATTTAAATTTTTTCTTCAACGTCACATTCGAAGTAATATTTTTTTATTGTTTACCATTCGCGAATATAAAATACAGAAATAGTGTATTTACATAATATTATAATTTATCCCATTTCTTATTACTTTTTTCTTTTTTCTTTTTTTTTTTCATACTTTATATTTAATTTAATTTGATTTGATTTGATTTTTATTTAAATTTTTTCTTCAACGTCACATTCGAAATAATATTTTTTAGTTTACCATTCGTGAATATAAAATACAGAAATAGTGTATTTACATAAATGATAATTTATCCCATTTCTTATTACTTTTTTCTTTTTTTTTTTTTTCATACTTTATATTTAATTTAAT